CATTTGAGATTTATTTTTCAGAGTCTCCCTTCTGTTGTCCCATCATGGGTGGGGTCTGTAAGCTCTGCTTTGGGGATGGAATGGCACATTTTGGTGCATAGAATGCCTCATGAAAGGATTCTCTAATGGAGCCTGGTAGCACTGGAGGTGGGTTTGGTGCCTGCTCAGCAGGATCTCTGCAGCCTTTCCCTGCAGATGGTGATAAAGAGTTGCCTGGTTTGGCTGGATCAAGTTCCATACCTCGCTCTAGACTGTGTCCTGTTTCACAGCTTTGGTTCTTCCACAGTGTGCTGATATTTTTGATACACCTACACTCTGAAGGAAAGTGATGCCCTGGTTCAGACATGTGCTTGTGTTGCCTATAATCAAAAGAAAAAACCCCTTGTATTAGAATAGTAAAGTAAAAAGCAGACCTTTATTTGGAAGCTTCCAGGTGTCGTGGTGGTGATGGGAACACCCAGAGCTGAATTTCTACATTTTATAATGTTAATTAATTAGGGTATCTAACAGGTACATCCTAGAGGAGATTCAGTTGCCCCAGTAACCTATTCCTGGGTCATCCCCTTGGAACTGGTCCAGGGGGTTCTCTACCCCACTTCTGATTATGCCTTATTTTAGGACCCCTCCTTGGAATAAGACTAAACAATATTTCAGGAATGTGTTTAGAAGGTCAGCTTATTGTTCTAAAATCTAGGGGAGAAGGGTAGGAAAACTACTGGAGCTATAGCCAGGCATTAGCAATCTACAAAACTACAAATGGATGAAAAATATATAAAAAGCCTAAGCATCATTCCCTCCCTTTAGAGACTTGACAGTATAGAATTATAGGCAACACTTGTACTTTTCCTCTGCATTAGCAGCTGAAAGCAGCTTCCCCTCTGAGCACTCTTATCCTGGGATGAGGCTCCCAGCCCAGGGATGATCCTTCAGTGCAGGTGTGAGAAAGCTCAGCCAGTGGGAGCTGATCCCTGCCCACACCAGCTTTTGAGCTTTAGTGCTGGGTATTCCCTACCTGTCCATGCTGTGTTTGGTTTATTCTTGGCATCCAATCCCAGGCAGACACGATGACATCAGCTTTCAGCAGAGCTGCTTTGACACAGCACAAGGGTGCCCCTGGATTGCCTCTGCAGGTGTTTACTCTAATTTTCAGCTGTGTCTGGGTTTATGGGTGCTCACAGCAGGACTCCAGCCCAAATAATTAATTCCCAGTGCTCCCTGCCAGTGGAGCAGCTGTTGGAACACACTCTGCAGTTTTCATTTTCTTGGTGCTGATGCTGAGAAGCCAGGTGAACCTCAGCCACCTCCCTGGGCGTGTTCAGACAAGAAGCCTTTGGGTAGAGGGAGTGATGAGTTTGGAGGGAATGTGCAGCCTGGCAGGTGGTGCCAGCTTGGTGTGAGCTGGCAACGTCCCTGTGGCTCAGGGCAGGGAGGGGACAGCAGGGACAGGAGCTGTCTGCAGGGGGAGAGCAAACTCACAGCTGTGTGCTGCCTCCCCTTCCAGCACAGGGCTGACACCAGCATCTCAACACATCTGTCAGACTTTCTCTTCCAGCAAAATGTCTGGAAAGGCCCTTTTGCCCCTGGAAGCCCTGGGCTGATGGCTCAGCTGCTGCTGCAGTGCCTCAGCCAGGTTGGTGCTGCACCCCGAGCTCCCTCAGTGGCTGCAGCAGCTGCATGCTGGCACTGTGGCTCTGGCTGCCCTCTCCTCCTGGGGCTGTGGCTGCTGCAGGAGCCCCTCGTGCCTCTCCCAGAGCAGTGCCCCCACGGTGGGTGCAGGGCAGAGCGTGGCTGGGAGCTGCTCCTGCTTAGGCTGACAATAGGGGCTTTCTTTCCATCCCGCCCTCTGGACCACTGTGCAGAATGAGAATTAGCATTGGCATGGAGGAATGTTGAAATAAGCCCTGGGTTTAGTGGTGGGAAAGTTGTCTGGCAGGAACTCCTCAAGTCTGAATCCAGTGATGTTGGAATGCAGCCCCCTGCTCCCATGGAGGCAGCTCCTGCACTGGAGAGGGGTTTGATGGAGACAGGAGGAGTTTTGCTGCCACAGAGGGGTTCTGTGGCATGGAGAAGTGTTGGTGGCACTTGTACAGCCTCTGTGACCTGCTGCCCTCTGAACTGGCTCCTCTGTCTCCTTAGGGGCCACTCTGGTTTTAATCAAGGCCGAGGCTTTCCCAGCCGGATCCTCTGCTCTCGAGCAGTCCTGCTGCAAATGTTTCATCCATGACACTGAAATCTCGGGCACATGAGGGATGTGAAGGGTTGCACCCAGGGGAGGTGAACACTGGCAGCCCTGGGAAGGAGGAATTTCAAGCAGAAAAACAGAGGAGGGAGCTGGGCAGTGTCTGGGAGGGGAGGTGCTGTTTGGCCCTGCTGACCAGAGAGCAGGCTGGGCTGCAGTGCTGGTGTTAAAGAGTCTGCCACAAAAGTCATTCATTAATGATCTTTTGCTTTCCTGGGTGAAAAGAATCTAGAGAATTAAACTTTCCACCGCTGACATGGCAATTCTGGGGGCAGTAAAACTGCTGAGCTCTTGCAGTTTGGCTTTGGTTTTCTTTGGTTTTGTCCTAGGGCAGTTTTGCAGGTTTGCAGGATCCAGAGCTTTAGAAGGAAATCTTCAGTTTCTCAAACCTGAATTTGGTTTAAAACAAAAAAAAAAATTCCTCCAAATGTCAAAGTGTAGAAATGTTTATTTTTCTGGAGCGACCAACTTGCCTTGGGTTTAAAAATGTCAGAAAAGATTTAACAAAACAGCAAACAAACTCTGGTATTAAAATAGCTCTGAAATGCTCCTGCAGTCTCAGCAGCTTTGCTGGGGGCTGTTTGTGAGTTTCCTCTTTCTCCCCTTGAAGGTTTACCAAGAATCTCTCTCCAGACAAAATCAACCTGAGCACGCTGAAGGGTCAGGGGCAGCTGACCAACCTGGAGCTGGATGAGGAGGTGCTGCAGAATGTTCTGGAGCTGCCCACCTGGCTCGCCATCACCCGGGTCTACTGCAACAAGGCCTCCATCAGGGTGAGCAGAAACAACTTCAGATGGATGGAGTTACCCATTTACAGGCAGAATCGCTGAGGTTGTGCATGGACTTGCACTTTGCACACTGAGCTCTTACAAATTCTTCCTCCTTGTGCTTTTTAGAGGAAAAAAAAGTGTTTTTTTACTTGTTATAAGCTGTCAGGTTGTTTCATTGCATATGGTACTAACCACTGTTGCATTACATGAACTCAGAAGTTTTAAGGACATCAAAGAGACTTTCTATAAAAGAAATATGATTCTATTCTGCCAAGTGACAGTAAAAATGAGCTTGTCTTACTCATCTGGTGTGCTCTGTTTTTAGAGTCAGATCTGCTCGGTTTAGTAACAAACATTTGTTCTCCCTCCTACAAGAACTGCAGAGTGAACGTTGCTGTATGAAAATAAAATGGAGCTCTTTGGTTTGTGCACAGTCTTCAAAAGAGTTGTGTGACTTCCAGTAACAGCAGCAGTTAGTTGTAAACTCCTAAAGGCCAGGAATGTTCCCCACAGCAGAATTTGACCTGCAGAATATCTGTTACTCCTGATGATATGTGAGATCCAAAAGCTCAGCTAGGTTTGTAGATCTGGTGTCTGGAATGTCTTTTCCTTTCTCTGTGTCTTGTTTGACCTGGATACAATGAGACATTGCAGACATTTCTGAGAAATGGGGCTCAAAGTTTGGGCTGAGAAGTTTTCCTGCAATTTCTGAAACTTTCCAATGCAAAGAGCACTTTGATAACCTCAACTTTATTGTTTCAGATCCAGTGGACAAAGCTGAAAACCCACCCAATCTGCCTGGTAATGTTGCCTCTCTTGTCTTCTTTCCTTCCTTTCTCCCTTCTTCTTTTCTTCTTTTTTTTTCTCACTCTTTTTAATCTCTTCTGCTTGAGAAAAATTCTGGAGAGTGAAACCATCAAGTGCTCAAATTTTCTTGGGACCTGAATCCTCCAGGCCCTTAGCACATAGGGCCAGGAGTACCCTCCTGTGAGTCCCTCATTTCACTGCAGGATGGAGCCAGATGAGCTCTCAGGGAAGTCCAGGGCCACCCTGTGCCTGTTTTTTGTTGGGTGTTTTCCCACTCTTGGGGTTTCAGGTTGCCCACTGACCCTGATGGTGTGAGAGCTTTAACACATGAGACTCTTGCAGCATTGAGTCTCCAGAGCTGGTTGTCCCTGCCCTGGAATCTCCCCCCAGGGCTTGAGGCTTGGTGTGGTGTTCATGGCTCCCACGTTGTGTCCCTGCAGTACCTGGACAAGGTGGAGGTGGAGATGAGGACGTGTGAGGAGCCTCGGCCGCCCAATGGACAGTCCCCCATCGCCCTTGCTGCTGGACAGAGGTCAGACCCCGAGCCCTGCAGCTTCTCCCTGCCCTCCTGCTGGGGTGTGAGCTGCTGTTCTTGATTCACCCCTGGCCTCCCTGCTCTTGGGTTTAGGTGCCTTTGGTGTTGCTTATAAACCTCTCTGTGTGAGCCTCACCTCTGCCAGGCCTCTCGTCGTGACACGGGGGGATCTTCTCTTTGCAGTGAATATGGCTTTGCTGAGAAGGTCGTGGAGGGGATGTTTATTGTTGTCAATTCCATCACCATCAAGATTCACTCCAAGGCCTTTCATGCTTCTTTTGAGCTGTGGCAGCTCCAGGGCTACAGTGTCAACCCCAACTGGCAGCAGAGTGACCTGCGCCTCACCCGCATCACGGACCCGCAGAGGGGAGAGGTGAGGCTTTGATGAATGACTTTTCCTTGTTTCATTTTGTGTCTTCTGAGTGTTTTGGGTTTTTTTTTAATTCTTGAAGTTGTGAGAATCCCAGCATTTTCCTGTTTTTCTCCTCCTGGGCAGGTTCTGACATTCAAGGAGCTCACCTGGCAGACCCTGCGGATAGAGGCAGATGCCACGGAGAATGGGGATCAGGATCCTGTCACCACTCCTCTGAGACTCATCACCAACCAGGGGAGGATCCAGATCTCTCTCAAGAGAAGGGTGAGAGTTTCCTCCATGCTTTGCAGGATGTGGTCTCACTGCCTGGTGCAGAGATGATGAATATTTCCTCCCACAGTCCTCAACAGCCCTTCTCTCCCTATAGAAATGTTGAGCCCAAACTCTTGTATCTCTCCATGTTTTCTGTGAGAGACGGCTGTGTTCTTACCAAATGTCAAAGCAGTTTCTTTCCCAGGGGAGGATCTCGTGGATGGAGTGAGTTTTTCAATCTGTTTGAACATCCTGAGGAGAGCTGTCATCTCCTTACTGGGAGCTGAAAGCCTGGCAGCCTGATTTTTAGCTGTCAGTGGAAATGTGATGATTTTTAAAAAAAAAGAATTAAGCAGTGAGCAATTTGAGCAATTTGTCTCTTAAAGAGGAGGTGGCTTTGACTGCTATCCATCTGAGAGGAGGTGCTGTGGATATGCACTCTCAGAGGAGTTTCACAGCAGCCTCCCTTCTTTCTGCCTCTGTCTGTGGGGGAAATTTTTGAAGTCCCTAACTCCTTTCTATTTCAGACCAAAGATTGCAACGTGGTGGCCTCCAAGCTGATGTTTCTGCTGGATGACCTGCTCTGGGTGCTGACAGACTCTCAGCTGAAAGCAATGATGAAATATGCTGAGTCTCTGAGTGAAGCTATGGAGAAATCTGCTCAGCAGAGGAAAAGCTTGGCACCAGAGTCTGTACAGGTGGGTGAGTTTGGAAGTTGGTCTGCCAGGGAAAAGGGCAGTTTCTGTTTGTGTGGCATCTGGCCCATATTCACAGCATTTTCCTTGGTGGGAACTCAGGTCAGTGTCATGTGGGCTGTGGGCTGCTGTGGGGTAGTGAGGTGACCAAATGAGTGGAGTTCATTGCCAATAAAATACATTTTCCAAGTCAGGGATGAGGGAAGAGGAACATTTCTGCTGGAGCTGGAAGCTCCATGGAAGCAGGGATGCACATGTAGTGCAGTGAGGTTGCACAGGAGGGATGGGGAATACTTGGCCCCATTTTTCCCAGGAATCTTAAAACTTCTTCCAAGATAAGTGCATGCAGCAGGCAGAGCCACAGACAAAGGTGGGAGCACAGGAGAGGGTCCAGATCCTGGGAACCCCAATTCAATCCTATAACCCCATGCCTTAGGGGCTGGAAGATTTGCATGAGTTGATGAATTGCCATTATAACCTCTGTGTTCTCCCTCTCTCTGAGTTCTCACTGAGCCTGTCCCCCTCCCACAGACCACCCCCCCTGCTCCCAGTGCCCAGCAGTCGTGGGCTCAGCCCTTTGGAGCCAGCCCCAACGCCAGCAGCATCGGGCAGTACTTTGACAAGCACGACATGAAGGAATCCTCCTACCACCTGCTCATCTCCCGCCTGGACCTGCACATCTGTGACGACAGCCACGCCCGGGAGGCAGGTCAGGAGCAGGGAAACAGCAGCACAGGGAAGGACAGCAGCTGAGACAGTGATTTTGTGGCTGGAAGAGGGTTGGGAAGCACTGGGGCTTTGTAGTTTGGGATTTGAGTTTCCAGGCCTGGTTCTTACCATATAAACTGTTGATTCAGGTGTCCTTCTCCTGGCCTAGGACAAGGTTTTGGTGCAGATTCCTAAAGATGGGACCCTAATCCTGGCTGTGGTGGTAGTCAGAGCAAGGTGGTTCTGGATTCTCCTGGGTCAGGGCTTGGATTGCAGAGCTGACCATGGTTTCCTCTGCTCTGTTCCTCACAGGTGCTCTGAAGCATGGGATGCTGGGCGGTGCCATCCAGCTGACCTTCAGGAGGATGGCTTTTGATTATTATCCTTTCCACAGGGCAGGTAGGGAGCCTGCGGCCTCACAACCTGAGGAGGGGGATAAAAAAGGAGTTTAAAGAACTGTTCTATGATTGCAGTTTGGACCAGAAGAAAGAAACTGCATTTTTAAAGCTGGGATGTTTGCTTTTCTGCAGGAGATGCCTGCAAGCATTGGGTGAGGTACAGTGAAGCAATGGAGACTCGGGGACAGTGGGCAAAGAAGTTGGTCAGTGAATTTCAAAGCAAGATGGAGAAGTTTTATGAAGAAACAGACCCTGTGTTTGCCAGGACTCCACTTTCCCCTTTCAAAAAGAAACCAGGTAAAGGTGTTTGAAAAGACAGTGAAGCAGGAGGTGGTACCAATTTTGCTCCATCCAGCAAATTCTTTAGTTGCCTGTCCCCAGCTGAGCAGGGTGGTTTGATGGTGTAGGAATGCATAGCACTGTAAAAGTCATAAATATAATGGCAAAGGAAAGTGGCTGGCAGAGCACTGCAGCCAGGATGGACAGGCTGCAGTGGATTATTGTTGGGTTTCTCCATAAGATACAAGGATGAAATTACATACTTAAGACCTGGTTAGGAATGTGTTCTCTCACCACAGAACAGACTCACCTTTCACAGTGTTCTTCCTTCAAAAGTCCTGGGTGCTTCTCCTGCCCAGCTGTGTTCATCCATTTCTAATTCTGGGGATTAGTTCTGCCCGGTAAGCACAGAGGTGTTGGTACTGGTGGTGCAGAGAAAGTGACTAAAACCCTGTCTGTCCCCACAGAGGCTCCCCAGAGTGGCCAGAGGAGCCCCCCAGAGAAGGGCCGGGCTCCCCCCACGAGTCTCCCGCGGCTGCGGCACCCGCCCTGGCAGCGGCTGCGCTCCAGCTGCCTGCTGGTCAGGGTGGATGACCTGGATGTGCACCAGGTAGGGACCTCAGCACGTGGCAATGGCACTGCTAGAATGGAAATTACAGCGTTCAGTACGTGGTTCAAGATATGATTGAAAGAATCATGCAAATCCTACATCCGAAACGCTGCCAGGAGAGCCTGAATGCTGTCAGGGTGCTGTCTGTAAAACTCTAAACCCTTTTAAACTGCTGATAGTTTTAATGTTCAGAGGGAACTGTATAACCACAGGTTTCTGCCCTTTGTTCCTATCTAAGCTTACACCAAGCATTAGGCAGGCCCAGTGTAAAAAATTTCATGCCTTTGAGAAGTCAGTGAGGATGTGGATTTTTGACAAAGGAGGAGAAAGTCTCACCTCATGTTTCTGCCCTGGATCAGGCCCTGCATCCATGTGCCCTGTGTTCATCCAAGAGCTGGATTTGCTCTTTGCAGCACCAGGTACTATGATGGACTTGCCAACGTGCTGTGATCTTGCAGAGAGCTGTAACAGATTTCTGTTCTGTTTGCTCATGTCACCTAATTCTGCTTGTCACAGCTCTTACTGGCAGTGACAGAGACACAAAGAGCTAAATTCCCTCAAAGGAGAGGAGTTGGCAATATCAGCAGGTAGAAGAAAATTATGTTTTTGCTTGAAAGCAGTGTATGTTTGATGTGTTAATGAGGCAGATGGAATACAGGCAACTGTGGGGTCACTGGGGCACTTGGGTTTGCCAAGTCTGAGTTCTGCACCACTGCATTTCCTTCTGTTTTCAGGTCTCTACAGCGGGGCAGCAAAGTAAGAAACCCTCCACCTTGCTTTCCTGTAGTAGAAAAATCTTCAAACTCCCTGACCAGGTCTCTGCAATCCATATTGAATTCACAGAATATTACTTTCCAGACAATCAGGACTTTCCAGGTAATACATCAAGGTTAGCACCTTCTTTCAGAAGTTTCTTAAAGAGCATCAATGGTCTGGATGTGTTAACCCTGTTAGATATTCTCTGTCCATTGTTGTTTATTTTTCTGATGTTTGCCATCCTATTTTTTTTTTTTTTTGCCTGTGGGAAGATGGGATGGAGTTTGTGCACAATGTGGAAGTTGTGCTTGCAGGAGGGAATTGCAGCAGCTGCTGTTTGCCCAGTCCCTGGGGTTCAGCCTTACTGGGAGCCCTGGAGCAGGGCCATGCGTGCTCTGGGTGCTGTCCCAATGGGTCACCTCATTCCTCTGGGTGCACCACAGCAGCTCTCCTTCTGAGATGTGTCTGGGTGGTGAAGCCCCTGCATTGCTGCTGTCAGTGCAGGTTCTGCTCTGAGCTGCAGAGCAGCCAGGGGCCTTTCCTGCTATCATTAATGTGTTTCCTTCTAGTTCCATGCCCAAACCTGTACATGCAGCTGAGCGGCCTGATGCTCACCCTGGACACACCGAGTGTGCTCTGGATAAACCTCTTCTGCCTGGATCTGTGTCGCAGCCTGGAGCAGTTCAAAGCCATCTACAAGCTGGAGGACTCAGGCAAGCGGGATGAGCACATGGACGTCCGGCTGGACGGCTTCAGGCTGAAGGTACCATTCTTCTCCTTCCTTTCCCACTCTTCAGTGTTCTCTCTGTGAAAGGAACATGAGACCAGGACATGGCTGGAGTCCTTAACAGGGAGACAAACCTGCTGCCTAACTCTGACTTTGCTCTGTCTGCCCCTTGTGTTGGTTTTGTTTGGTCTGTGGGCAGTAAAGCTGGTGCTGGAGTTCTCATCCAGAATAAACCTCTGCTATTCCTGTCTCACCTTTCTTCCCCCTGCAGCTCAGCATCCCCGTGGATAAGAAAGTCACGGAGCACCGGGACCGGCCGCAGGCCCTGTGTGTTTGCATGGCAGAGGTGACAGCCACCAACACCCGCCACGCTCCCTCCTGCAGCTGCCAGGACCTGCAGAGCCTCTTCCGGAAATTCGCGGGCTCGGAGTTCTTCCACTCCAGTTACGCCCAGTTCCCCCGGGGGCAGGACAGGTTCAGCCTCCTGCACACCCTGTTCCTGCGCCACGCCTACCACGTGGATGACAGGCCACAGAAGCACCCAGGCTTTCCCCAGCTGCCTCACAAAACCTCTGCCTCGGAGGATCTGTGGTCTGTGAATTTCAGTGAGCTCTCGCTGGGATTTGAGGGGGCTGAAAGCTCCAAGGGCAGAGCCCTTAGCTTTATTGACCCTTTTCCCCTTTCCATATGGGCCTGCCTGCCCAAGAGGTGGGGGCAAGCTCAGATATCTAAACGACAGGAACTGGCCACCTCTGAGGTGAAAATCAAGCCTTCTGCCAGCTTTAGCAACCACTCCAAGAACGAGAACCTCTCCAGAGAACACGGTGTTTGTCAAAGATCAAAGACTGACCAGGATCTGAGGAATATCTATAAGGCTCCAGACACGATGGATGTCTTGGGAGAATCTGACTGTGAAGTTGATGATGGAGTAGACAGTAAAGAGCTGGAAGCCTCTGCTGATATCCACGTGCTCATGTCCTCCTCTGTCCACGTCAAAGTTCGGCTCAACCACTACCAGTACTTGGTGCTGCTCAGGATGAAGGAAGTTCTGCAAGCACTACAGGAGCAGCTGGCCCAAGATACCCAGGAAATGACCGGGTCTCCTTTAGACCCCATGTCTGCTTGTGTGGGAGTTATGTTCCACAGTGCTGAGGTGGCCCTGCTCATGGCCCCTGCTCCAGGGTCTGTCATGGAGCCCAGGTCCCTGGACTCGGACACAACCAGCCTGATCGAGTCCGAACTCTCACCCTCAGACAGCAAGGAGGGGCTGGCAGCTGAAGAGAAGGAGCTGAAATCAGAGAGCAGTTCGGAGAAGGGCTTGGGCAGCACCTCAGAGCTCCCAGAGGACAGTGGGACCCAGGACACTGGTGCCAGTGTCCAGCTGGAGAGGCTCCCGAGGTCCGCGAGCGACGGCGCCCTGGGCGCAGCTCCCCGCGGTAAGGGCGCAGAGGAGAAAGGCTTGATAGAGGAAGCACACGAAGCTGTGGAAGCCCTGGCTGCAGACAGACCAGCAGAGAGCAGCAGCCACCCTCAGAGCCCCCCTGCTCTCCCTTCCAGCCCAGCCTCGGACACGCAGCCCTCGGGCAGAGGCGTTGCCCTCAATGGCCAGGCAGAGCTGATCCCGCTGCGCAGCATCGAGGAGGAGCTCTCCAGTGCACTGCACATCACCAAGGACGCCACGAAGGAAGCTCTGCACGCCACCATGGACCTCACCAAGGAGGCCATGTCCCTCACCAAGGACGCCCTGAGCCTGAGCCGGGACAAGATGACCTCCACCATGCAGAGGATGCTGTCCCTGCCCCCGGCCAGGTGAGCAGGGCAGGCTCCTGAGCTGCAGGAGGGGGACACAGAACCTCCACTCCCCTTCTGTCCATTGTGTCTGGGCTGGAGATGGGTTAAGTGTTCATCTCTTGGGGCTGTTCTGAGGATACTGAATCTGACTTGCAAGTGGTCAGAGAGCAGCCCAACACTCAGATCATCTGCAGGCTCAGCTGCCTGCCTTTATCCCTGGTTTTTTTGGGGTTTTTCTGTAGGGATTCTGTGCCCAAGGCAGAGGAGGGAGCGGTGACCCCGGGCGGGGCGGGCAGCGGCCGGATGCGATTCTTCTCCATGAAGAGAACCTCATCCCAGCACTCCTTTGACACCACATCCGTGGATGGGAGTGGCCCTGAGGACGGGCTGTCCGTGGACAGCGATGGCAGCGATGGCTTCGTGATGCTCACAGACTCTGGTAAAGCCCTTGGCTTTTCTGTGCCCACCCTCCTCTCACAGGGGTGATGCTTTGTGCCCCAGGCAGCTCATCCTGTGCTCCTGTGGAATCACTTCTGCTGCTGTGAGTTGCCTCACAGTGTCTCTTTCTGCTTTCTGCTTTTGTAGGTGCCTTTTCCTTGAGATGAGGAGGGTAAATCAGTGTGGGGTGACCCTGCAGGTCCCAGTGGTGTCCTGAGGGCTGCAGGGGCTGTGATGTGCTGGTGGTGGGTGGTACAGAGCATTTAGGAAGGGCTGGTTGGATACTGGGTACTCTGGACATCTTTCACTTCAACCCTGTGTTGCTTAAGCACATCTGAGAAGCTGGAGAGAGATGGATCTCCAGAGAGGCCAGAGGTTCAGGCAGATGCTGATGTCAGGACTTCCAGAGAAAGAAATGCAATTGAGTTGTTGTTACTTCCATTTCAGAACCCAGCCTGGACCCCCTTTCTTCAGGGCAGCTTCCCCAGGCCCACACTGACACGGGCAGCAGAAGCAGCCTGGTGGCAGAGGACGAGGGTGGAGTGTCCCCTGAGGTGAACAGCTCCACGTCCCAGAGTGAAGAGCCCAGTCTGCAGCTGGTCAGTGCCTGGCACTGGGATTCTGTCCCTGAGGGGCTCTGGAGGTGTTTGCTGTAACCAATGAGCTCTTGGTGGCTGTTTCAGGTGTCTGTCCTCGTGCTGAAGATGAATGATGTGAACTGTGCAATAGAGGTACAAGGAGATGATTTGTCTGTGGCTTTACAAGTGATGAACGTGGTTCCAGAGCAGCTGAACAACGTTGGCATGTGGCAGTTCCTGCGTGGCTACGTGGGTAAGATGCTGAACTGTTAGAACTTTTATATCATCCTCCCTCAGGGAATATTCCATTAACTGGGGCCTCAGTGTTTGGGGTGGTTAGGATTGAACATAGTGTGAGGGTTCAGATCTGGCATTTGAAAGATATTTCCCAAGTGCCTACACAGTCACTCTCTGTGGTGCCTTGTAATCATTGATTGGGAGTTTTTAAATTGCTGAGGATGCTGAAATGAATTAAAAGAGTGAATAAAGCTGTCTAGGGAAACCATGAAGTTAATCCTGATCTGAGAAAAATACTTTTGGGTCTACAGTACTTCCCCTAAATTTGAATTAAAAAAAAAAACAAAAACACAACAAGCCAAACTTAAAACAATTAACTGTCCCCCCCAAGACTCCAAAAAATGTAACCAAACAAAACCAAAAGCAGCTCCAAACCTGAAGTGGAAGTGTGAGCAGTTCCCAGGCTGTAGATCCTGCCTTTCCCAGTCCTCCAGTGGCCACGGTGGAGCCAAGGGATGAGGAAGGGCTGGTCAGCTCTGGAGAGTGAACCAGGGCAGTGGGTCAGCTGTGGAGGCAGAGTTGGGGCACTCTGGAGGGCACCTGGGACAGTTCTGGGGGGCAGAGTTGTGGCAGCTCTGAGAGTGAGTGGGGCACTGGGCCGGGTCCTGCCCATGCAAAACAGGGGCCAGTTTTACAGTGTGGTGAGAGAGGGATGTGCCTGGGACCTTAAATGATGCAGTTCAGTGATGTGAGCTCTTAGCCCTCGAAACTGGGATTTCTCTGATGTGAGGGGTGATGTCAGACCACGGTCACTCGGCTGAGATGGGCTTTCCACGGTGCCCTTTCTGACTGCTGTGTGACCCCTGGCCCCGTTGTGCAGCGAGATCTCTCTGCCCCAGGTGGAGGGGACACGGGTGTGGAGAAGGCAGCGGGGCCTGGGCAGCCCCAGCCCGAGGTGTGCCTGCGCCTGCAGTCGGGGCCGGCCCAGCGCAACGGCTTCCTGCAGCTGCTGCTGCACAGCCCCTGCACCCAGCTCTGCACCTCCTGCCTCGCCAGCCTGGCGCCCTTCCTGGAGGATGAGGTCATCCCAGAGGTCATCCCCATGGAGATAGAGGTGGTGGATGCCAAAATCACGTTGAAGGTGAGAGATTCCCCCCCGGGCAGAGCTCGCTTGCAGGGTGGCACTTGGGGAGGGATGCTGTGGGAATGCTGGGGGGGCTCTGTAGAGCTTCTCTTCTCCTGAGACTGCTTGGTTTTGCTTCTAAAAGCAAAACTAAACCCAGGAATAAATAAGGAACATAAGGGAAGTGTGTAGCTGTACACCCTGTACATAAAGCCAGGCCTTTCCCTAGGGTGGCCTCAGCCCCGTGAGTCTGGCAGTGCTGCTGGTCAGGAATGCTGCTGCAGACAAGGGAAATCCTTTTGAGAGCTGTCACAGCTGCTCATCCCCTCTCTGCTTCATGTTCCTCCAGGATGACAGCCCCCCAGTGTACCCCACGTCCCCTGGCCCTGTCCCCATCACCTTGGCAATGGATCACCTCGTGGTGAGGCGCAGGGATGACGGTGTCTTCTATCTCACAGGTGAGTCACTCCTGGTTTTATTGTCCCCTGCACCCCCAGGCTGTGCTGGTGGACACTGGGATGTGAGGGATGCTGCTGGGAAGGATGGGCTCTGAGGTGGGAGCAGTCCCTGTGTGTGTTTCCTGCTGTGGGACAGTCCCTGCCTCTGTTCCCTGCTGTGAGAATTCATGTCTGGTGTTTCCTTAAGCACACCATTATTACCTTTTAGTTCCTCCATTTTAAAGGGAAAAAGAGGATTTTATTTCCCTGTGTAACAAGAGGGGGAAAAAAAAGGAAGAAAGAAAATAATTAAAGTTTGTTTTGCTTTTTTTTTTCTGTGTGAATGTCCACACCTGAGTGGGTTCTGTTGCTTTCCAGCTTCCCAGGGGAAGGACTCAGTGAAACAGGAAAAACCTGTGTCAGTCCCTGAGGAGCAGAAGGCCCCATCAGAGTCTGTCTCACCAGCCCCAGCAGCAGGAGCACGTGGGCTGCAGGTGAGTCACTGCTGCTGCCTGGACAACAGAGAGCTGGAAATTCTCTTTTGCCTTGGTGTGTTTGTGGTCCTGGCAGGTGTGGTGAGCTGCAGGAAGGGAGTGCCCCGAGGAGCAGCCTGTGCCTCCTCCCATGAGTGTTCTAAGGAGTGAGGGCACCTTGCCCAGCATGAACTCACTTGTCCCCTTTCAGAATCTGGTTGGGGATTGTTTTCTGATTGGCTCCATCTTCCCCACTGTGTCCAGTTCCTTGTTGGAAAAGCAGCAGTTGAGAGGTTCCCAAAAAGAGAAGTTCTGTCACTGTAATGGATCCCAGAAGCTCCTGCTTTGGTTTTCCTTGGGCAGCTCACTGTGTACCTTGAAGGCTCCTGCCTTGTTCTCTGCTTGTCTCCTGCAGCTCAAGCAGGTGCCAGAGCTGCAGAGGGAGCTCCAGACCATGAAACTGGCCCTGGCAGAAGCCAACATGGACAAGGCTCGCCTTCTGCAGGAGATCAGGAAGTACAACCCCCTGTTCCAGCTCTGACACTGCCAGGGACAGGCCACCAGCACCAGCAGGGCAGGTTTGGTCATTTCGCTGCCAAACGGGTCCAACCCAGGACTGGAAGCAGCTGTGACTGCAGAGACTGGGCAGGGAGGGAGGGAGGGAGGGATGGAGGGGCCTGGCTGAGGGAAATGGGAGCTGTGAGGAGGAGTTTGCTCTGCTCTGGCCAGCCCACAAACACCAGGTCACATTTGGGGGCACACCCCATGTCTCCTCATCTCTGGGTGTTTTTCAGCCTCCAGCTTTTGTGGTGACTTCTGGAGATGTTCCATGCTGGGGTTTCTGCTCCTTTCACCCTTCCTAGCTGTGTTCTTGCCCAGCTGTGCTCGCCAGGGCCCACAGCAGGAGCAGGGTGGTCACCTCAGCCCGGGGGGGGCAGAAAGGGCAGGGCTCTGCTGGGAGAGCAGGGCTGCTGTCACTGGAACCAGGGATGGCATTCCCACTGTGGAGTGAGGGCACACAGCTCACTATTCCCACAAGAACAGGGTCAGGATAGTCCAGAAATTCCTTCCTTTTCATAATTCCTTGTGGAGAGGTGGATGCAGTGTGTGAGACTTCATTCCCACTTTATCCCACAATGTTTGGCTTGATTGGTGCAGGAATTAATTCCTTACAAGGCACTGTTTAAACTTCTACTATGAAAGAACAGGGTGAGGGAGGTTGGTTCAGTCTCAGGTGATGCCCTGGGTGTTTTTTGGGGTGCACCTTGTCCTCAGAGCTTTGTGTGCCCCACTTCCCCAGTGGGGAGGAGGAGGAGGAGCAGCTCTGGCTGCTGAGGAAGGAGCTGGGGGTTTCCAGCACTGGGTGGGATCTCAGCAGGGCTGAGGGGCTGCTGGGGATGGGACCCCAGAACCTGCCAGCCCTGCTCCCAAAAGGAAACCACTGGAGCAGCTCCCTGTGAGCACTGCTGGATTTTGTGTCACCAAACCTTTGTGCTGCTCCCTCTCCCTGGAGGGAGCTCTGAGAACTGCTTGCCTGAGGTGGAATGCCACGGTGTTCCTGCTTTTTCTTCATTCATTGCTTGAAAATGGGAGGTTTCCCTCCTCTGCTTTTTCGAGTTTTCATGACATTTTGTGTGTGGGAAGGGTATGCCAAGGGTGTGCCCAGCCTGCAGGGTCCCACAGCTCCTGCCACTGAGGCTGAGCACAGCTGGGGCCAGGTTGTTTACAGCAAATTCCTGCTCCAGCACCTTCAGTCCATGGGTTTTGTGGAAGAATCCAAACATTTCCTTTGCTTTGAAGGCCCAGTAAAAAGGAGTGTCACCCAGAACCTCCTGGGTCCCCCCAGATTGTAAATATCAAAGTTTACTCTGTGGAGCCTCTTGTTCAAGGATTCTTGCTGTGTTCCAGGGAGCCCTGCCTGGCCCAGGAGAGCACTCAGCAGCTCTCCCAGGGGCAGGAGCAGCTCCCTGGCAGGGGATGGGGGAATGTGCAAGGCTGAATTGAATTTGAATTTTAGGCAGTATTGCAACTCTGCTGCAGTTTGTTTCCACTGATGCATTTATTGGTTCTGTGAACCAGGAGCAGAATTAAACTCATTAACCAGGCTTGGATCTCTTCTCCTGCTTTTCCTTCCCCCTCCATCCCAGCTGGTTTTTGGGCAGCTCCTGGGTTTGGAAGCACAGCCCTGACCTGAGCTGTGCCAGCCCCAGGCTGGGAGCAGCTCTGGGAGCACCTTGGGTCACACAAGGAGCAGATGCCAGCCGGGTTATGAACACAGGAATAAGTTTAATGTACAAAAAAAAAAAAAAAAAAAAAGCCACACGTGTGGGCACAGGCTGCACATCTGGGCACAGGCTGCACATCTGGGCACAGGCTGCACATCTGGGCCAGCAGGGAATGCTCTGCAGCCCCTGCTGCTCCTCTCCTGCTGGGCTGGGGGTGCACCCAGGGGCAGCAGGGACATCCTTGAGGCCCCCAGGCCCCCCAGAGGCAGCTCACCTCGCTGCCCCTCAGTGGAAGATGATCTTTTTGTACTTGGAGTTGGGGATTTGCCCCCGGGCCTTGAGCCTCCTGACGGCCTCCCTCATGTGCTTGGGCTGCAGGGGGGGCAGCTCGCCCCACTTCTCACACACGTCCAGGGCTGGGCAGACAGACAGACAGACAGAGGGCGTGGCAGGGCCCAGCTGAGCTCTGCCCCTCCCCTGCTGCTGCTTCAGTGCAGTGTGGAAGGGACAGGGAGGGGTTGTTTGGGGTTTGCAGCTCAGGGGCAGGAGGGGAGCTGCTCCTCCCCCCTGCCAGGAGTCCCCAAAAGCTTCTGGGGAGATGGAGCCAGGCAGGGCTGGGCTCAGAGCCCCTGGGCTGAGCCCCCCCAGCAGCTGCTCCCACAAAGGGAGGCTGGGGCAGGTTTAAGGTCAAGGAGCCCCTGAGCTCCTCAGCCTGCTCTGGAGGGGCACAGGACAGGCACTGGGGGGGAGCAGAGGGGCTGTGGCAGCAAAAAGCTGGAAGGGAGAGCCATGGAAAGCTGCTCCGGGCAGGGAGCTCACCCGGGCTCCTCCCCTGTCACTCACCTTCCTCCACCACCTCCCCCACGAACACCTTGGAGATGCCCGACATGGCGATGACGACGTTCTGCGACACCGAGGTGCCGGTGATGGACTGGATCAGCTGGGACAGGCACGGGACAGTCACGGGACAGGCGGGGACAGGCTCGGGACAGGCTCGGGACAGGCGGGGCCAGTCACGGGACAGGCTCGGGACAGGCTCGGGACAGGCGGGGACAGGCTCGGCCCCGGCCCGGCCCCCGGGGGCACAGCCCCGCTCGTACCCGTTTGATGGCGGCCTTGGGGAAGGCGGAGCGCCGGTACATCTCGTAGCGGTTCAGCTGCTCCTCGGAGAAGGAGGAGACCAGGATCCTGCGGGCACACAGCGCTCGTTCCCCGGGCACCGGCGGCACCGGCAATCCCGGACGGGCGGGCACTCACTGCATCTTCTGGATCTCGTCCTCGTCCACCTTCTGCTTCCTCTCCTTGCGCTCCTTCAGCTCCAGCTTCACCTTGCGGGCCGCGCTCGCCTGCAGCGCCGCGTCCTCCGCGTCCGCCGCCTCCCCGTCCGCGCTCCTGGCCTGCGCGGGAGGGCAGCGCTCGCTCTGCGGGCCCGGCCCCGCGCCCGGCGGCGGCACCGAGCGCGTCCCGGGCCGGGTCCGCCATGGCGGCGCCTCCTGATGACGAAACGCGACGGGCGCCGAGGGGGCGGGGCCTATCGCCACGGGAACGGTCAGGCGTGGCGTATGGTGATGACGCACATTACCGGCGACGCTCTGGCTGTAGAGCCTGTAGTCATGGCAACGGAATGCGGCGGCGCGTCCTGATGACAGATATGCCGGAGGGCGGTGCCTGTTGCCATGGCAGCGGCGACTCGGCAGCGCGGCCTAATGACGCGCTCCACGGGCGCCGCGATGGGGGCGGGGCATGTCGCCATGCCAACGGCGCCTCCTGATGACGCACCGCTACGGGTGCCGCGAGGGGACGCGCGGGGCCGGGCGTGTCGCCATGGCAGCGGCGCTGCGCGGGCCTCACCCCCGGGCCCTGCGCGCTCCGCCCGGCCATCCCCGCTCTGAGCCGCCCTCCGCGCTCCCGGGCCGTGCCGGGACACGGCGCCAGAGCGGCCCCGCCGGTTAAAGCCCCGCAGAACCGCCCAGAACCAGCGCGGCTGAGGGGGCGGGGGCGGGGCCTGCGCAAACCCGCCCCTCGCACCGCCCACACAGACCCCGCCCATGCCCCGCCCGGCAGCCCCGCTCAGGCCCCGCCCCGGAAGTGGCCGTGCGGCCGGGCCGGGCCGCGCCGGCCATGGGGAAGGAGCAGGAGCTGCTGGAGGCCGCGCGCACCGGGAACCTGCCGGCCGTGGAGAAGCTGCTCTCGGGGAAGCGCCTCAGCTCCGGCTTCGGCGGCTCCGGCGGCGGCGGCGGCTCCGCGGGGGGAGGCGGCGGCGGTGGCGGCGGGAGCGGCGGCGTGGGGCACCCGCTGTCCAGCCTGCTCAGGTGAGCGCGGCCGGGGCGGCCTCGGGCGCGGGCCGCGGGGCTCGGGGGAGCTGCTGTAGGGGCCGCGGGGCTCGGGGGAGCGGCTGGAGGGGCTGCCTGCCCTCATGGGGCGCCGCGGGACAAAGCGGTGCGGGCGAGCCCGGGCTCTGGAGCCGGGGCTCCCCGGCGCGGTGTGAGGGCTGTCCCGGGCAGCCCTGCCCGCGCTGCCGTGCCCGCGGCAGAGGGAGCGCCGTTGCGCTGTCCGGAGCCGGCGGTGCCCGCGCTGCTGCTGCCCGGTGCCCCCGGCATCGGGCGCTGCTCTGCCGGTACCGGGAGGCTCCGCAGCGTCCCCAGGGCTCCGCGGCCGCTTCCCGCCGTGCGGGGTCTCCGGGTGCCTTTCCCGGGCTGCCTTTCCCGGTGTCGCACGGGCTGTCCGGGCCCTGCCGGCTCTCGGCTCGCCCTCAGCCCCGCGCTGTGGGATCGGCTGCTTGAACCTCTCGGACCTTTGTTAGGTGCTGTTTTTTCTCCTCCCCGTGGTTTGGCATCGCCTCTCGCTGCTGGAGCCGCGGCTTTGGGTGACTTTGGGAGCGCTCCTGGTTTGTGCTGGGAGGGGTGGGTACAAGCCAGCTTTGTGTCCGGGGCCGAGTGACGCTGTTGCTGCACAACCCGGCTGTTCAGAGGGTGGGACTTGCCCCTTTTTGGCCGGATCCGATCCGTTTTTCCTCTCACATAACCCGGCTGGGTGCCTGCAGGTTGTGCTGGTGGCAGAAGCCCGCAGACGTGCGAGAGCTCACCCTGCCCTGGGGCACACCTTTGCCTTTCTGAAACGCAAATCTCCCCTCGGGTCGAGCTTTGTTCTTCTCTTTTGATGCATTAAACAGTCTGAGCCCTCGTTTGAGGGGCATGGACGTGCCCACGGGGGGCTCAGCTCAGTGCAGAGGGTCGGTGCAGCTGAGCACCCTGTGAGCTGCACCAGACCCAGCTCTGCCTGGCATCACCTGGGCACTCTGGGGCCTTTTCCTGGGCATTCCCACGGTGCCAGGGCGAGCCAGGCCATCCCCTTGGCTCTGTGACTGTTCCTCACGTGTGGAGGAGGGTGCTGTCACAGCTGTCACTCGCATTCCCTGTTCTCTGTTGGCTGTGCCCGTGGTGGCACTGGACCCTTTCCCTGCCCAGGTCCCAGCCCCTGTTTCTCCCTGCACGGCTGGGATCTGTGCCTGTGAGCAGTTCCTGGTCTGGCTGCACGTTGTGGGGCATGGCAGCGTGTCCTGTGTGCCACCTGCTGCCATCTGGGAGCTCTGGGAGTGTTCCCCACCTCCTGACCACTTGTTGGGCTCTGCCTCCTCCAGCTTGTGACGAGGTTTTGATGAGAGGCCAGAGAGTGCAGGAGACAGGCTGGGACAGGCTGCAGGGACAGACAGGTGAATTTTAGGGTGGAGAAAGCCTCACCTTTCCCAGTGCCAGAACATGGGAACTTTTCTTCTGTGGGATTTTGCCCTCCTTGGTTGTGGGGAGAAGCCTGCCCTCAGTCAGGTGTGTGTGCTCTGTATTTTCCTTTCCCCTGGCCCTGCTCAGGCTGATCCCTGGTTCTGCTGAGGCTCCTCGTGTCTGTGAGGATCTCTCCTGACACGGGAACTGCTGAGCTGCTCTCCACCCCCGGAGCAGGATCATAAACACCCTGCTGGGCCAGCACCTTTGTTCTTTTCTCCACCCCACTTCAGGTCCCTGTTTTAGTTTCTGTTTTAGTCCCACTGTTTGGATAACCTGTTCCCAAAGCTCTTCTCTCCCAAGGTGCCTGTCACAGCTCTTTCTGTCAGCTCTGCATTTCAGGTGTCTCAAAGATACAGTTTTGGATGGGATACAGGCCAGGCATTCCCTGGAATTCCCACATTGCACCAGGTGTGTGCTGAGCTGGCACCTGCTCTGAGCTGGCTCTCATTGCTTTGGGCATTTCTCTTCCAAGGAGAGCAAGTGCTGCTCCATGAAGAGGTAGAAGATGGCCCTGGCAGTAAATTCCTTGGAATGTGGTGTTTTATCAGGTAACCTGAACTGCCGTGGGTCTGTTATCAGTTCAGTGTGAACTTTGTCACAGTCTGGGCTCTGCTGCTCCTTCCCAGGCCCGCTGGGTGTGGAGGCAGCACAGATTCCACTCACCCGTGGCTGCAGGGGAGCAGGAAACAGAATGGGATAAGCCACAGGAGGAGGAATTTCAAAGACAATTTAAGTCTCTTGAAGGGTGAACGTGCCAGGGTGTAACACTCAGGGCACTGGGCAGGAGGAGGAATCCCAGTGGGAAGCTGGTGGGAGTGGGGAATGCTGACAGCGAGCTGGGGGAAGGAGGAGGATGCAGGAGGGGGAAATGGGAGTGTGGCTCTGCCAGAGCAGATGGTGAGCTCACAAAGAGGTGGTGGCTGCCAGGCTTTGGGAGGCTGGGCTCCCTGCTGGCCTCCACGCAGCCCCTGGGGTCTGCCGGGCCCTGGGGAGCTGCTGCAGGCCTGGCCCAGCAGTCAGGGGCAGATCCTGGCCCCTCAGCCAGGCCTGGCTTCTCAGATCCAGCCGTGGCACAGGCAGGAGCAGCCAGAGAGAAAACCCACTCTGTGCATGCACAGCTTGAGGCTATGAGCAGCAGCAAGTCCAGAAATCAGAAGTGGTCTGTGAATCTTGAGGTTCCTCGGGGTTGTGAGCCACTTCTGCAGAATTTGATTTATTGTATTTTTTTTTAGTGGTTCACTGTGAAGTTAGAGGCGGGAAACAACAGAACAATCTGTGGCTGAGCTATCAGGCTGCATTCAGGAGGCTTTGCCAGGAGCAATGAGGGATGGGTTGTGTTCAAGCCAAAGCTGCAGAAGCGGCTTTTTATTTCCATCTATTGCTGTGAAAAGTCTGGCTCTGTGTTGCCAGAGGGGGAAGCTGAGGCTGCTGCTGAGCCCCAGATGGGATAAGCAGTCCCCAGGGAGTGTATCAAGGAGATGCTTCTGCTGGGAATGAGGAGTTTGGGTGCACATCTGCTGTGGGAAGGGTCCAGTGCTGCTCCACAGAAGCCACGACCCTTGTTCCAGCCCGTGTGCTGCTGCTGAGGGGTCTGGTTGCTTTAGAGAGTGACGTGGTGGGATGGCAGAACACTTGAAGTGCCTTCCAACAGTCCAAGGGTGGTGAGGAGTCAGAAAAAATGAGTTATTTTTTAAAAAAGTGGGGTTTGGTGTTTGTTCTGGTGTGGCTGATGGTTCACAGCAGGGATCTGGTAGTGCCCCGAGTGCTCCTGGGGAAGGCTCTGACTGTGCCTGTCTGCTGCCATTCCCTGGGAAGGGACACGGTGCTGCTGCCAGGGAAGGGGGGATTGCCCTGTCCGAGGTCAGTGTCAGGCTGTCTGTCCCTCCGTGTGTCCCCAGACCCTGTGGGTAAGCACCAAGTCCTGCAGTGTGTGCAGCAGGGGGGCTCCAAGGAGCAGCTCCCAGGTTTGTGCAGGCAGGGTGCTCCCCTCTCTTCCCTTCCCATCACAAGGGAGCTGCTCCTGCTGCATTCCCACAGAACAGGGCAACGCTGGGTCTTCCCCTGCTCCTGCTGCCGTGATTAATCATCTCACCCACTTTAAACCTTCTCCTCTCCACACCCTCCCGTGCACTGCCCCTCTTTAATTACACTCCTGAGCACAGGGCTTGCTGAAGGTGCTTGTGCCACAGGCACAGGTGTGCCCCGGGCTCAGCAGGGAATTGTTTCCTAAGTGCTTCTTTAAGGATTCAAAGGCTGCAGTTAGTGGCTGTGGTGTTTTGGCTCTGTGTGATGTTGTGATGCAGTTTTGGAAAGTTTTTGTTTGCTTGCTTTGGTCGGTGCAGGTCTGTGTTCAGGAGCACCGGGCTCTCCTCGCCCACTGGCATCAGCCCTGCCCTGCTCCTCTCACCCAGGCCAGTGGGCAAAGCAGGGCTTGTGGTTTCACAGCACCTGGGGCTTTCTTGGACACGTGGGAATTGTGGGTGGGTGGGTTCCTTCCTGTGAAACCCCCTTGAGAGAGCCCTGCCTCGCTGCCTTCCCCGTGGGCTGTGGGCAGCTCCAGCTTTCCAGGGCTCGGTTGGCAGAGAGGGGGATTGGAAGTGGAAGGCTCTGCCCAGGTGGCAGTGGCAGGTCTGACAAACTCCTGTCTCCTGGGGCTGCCCAGTTCCTGGCTCCAGCAGCAGGAAGGGCAGGGGGAGCAGTGTCTCCCCTTCCCTTCTGCTCCCTGTGTGCCCCAGCAGTGGTGTTGGGGAGGAGGAGCTGCTCCCCCCAGTGCCACAGACCCCTCCAGCTGTGGAAGGCCCTTTGGCAGGGAGCAGAACTTTCTGGAGATGAATGGCTGGAACAGCATTCAGTGTATTGGGAGCAGCTGAGCCAAGAAACAGGGTTCATCCAGCTGGGTTTTTGTGAGGTAATGCATCATTTCACTGAGATTGAAGGACAGCAAACAGGACAGAAGAGACATGAGTGAAAGGTGTGACACAGTACAGGTAACACAGAGTGGAGGAAATGCATCCATGTCATGCCAGACCAGAAGGAAAGCCCCTCTCAGCTGCCCTGGGACAAAGCACAGGCAGCTCCTGGAGGCTGAGCCCCTGCTGTGGCAGTGCCCCAGGGCTTGCCAGGCTGGCTCTCACAGAGAACAAGTGCTGACACCTCCACTCTGTGAGCTCATCGCCTTTCCGGGCTGTGCCATCCTCTCCTGCCCTGCTCACTCCTCAGATGCAGCTGTGGAGGGCTGTGCTGCTCTGGCTGTGGAATCCTTTCAAGGTGAAGTGTCCTCAGGATGAGAAGGTGCCTCTGAACGTGGGTGATGGCTCTTTCCTCTTGTCACTGCAGCACGAGCTCTGCCCGGTGCTGAGCTGGCACTGTCACTGTCCCAGCCAGCTCACTCCAGAGTACAGCTTAGTCATGGAAATGAGATAAATCCTATTTCACAGAAACTGGTAAAAATAAAACTATTGAGGATTGATTTGTTTCTATAGCAACCGACTGGCGAAGTGAGCACAGCTGCTGTCTGCAGGAGGGAGGAA